CGGATGAAATCTCGGACCGACCACAGCAACACACACATATATACAGTATGTCCCCGGATCGAGTTACAAAGAGGAGAAAAAAATTATTACTGATTTTTCAAACTTATCTCAGCATAAATAATGCGTCGGATATGTTCAAACCATTAAATTGCACGAACTTTATATTCTAACTATAGAAGTTAACTAATTATTGCTATTTTAATGTAAAAATTATACTTTTCCTAAATTAAAAATTTTTCAAGTTCAATTTACCAACCATAAAAGTTACAACTTATGTTAGTGAAAAATATACGGACAAATCAAATTATAATATGGCTAATTGAATAAAATATTTTAAATGTAAATATATGTAATAACACACTATGTAAGTAATAAATATTATTTATTTGTAACTGAACAAATCCTCATTCAAACAAATTCCCTCCCAATTCGGCACACATTTGAAGACGACTTCTAAATTCTTTATAAGAAGTACGAATTTCCACCAGTGGTAGAGATTTTATCGCTTTAATTATTCTTAGTTTTAATAGTTCTGCATCATCTTGTAATGCAGAACAATTAAACTGTAAACAACCAACCTCTGTAACCACCGATGCAGAAATGCCAAAAAATTTACATTTATCAGAAGTTATCTTACACAACACCAAAAACATTTTGGACGACCATGCGTTCTCTTGGCGTAATTGAAACTCCTTCCTCCCATAGCTTTGATTGTAATTCATTAGGTGCATATTTTGCCAATTCGCCCATTACTCTTGACGAATTAATCAAGAAATCAACATTGCTCACTATCAGTGATTCTGCTCTCGTCAATTCTCGGTTTTCCTTCACCATGTTAAATGAGCCTCAGGTTCGGGACGCTCTTGCAAAAACGCGCTCTACAAGTGTTGGTGCTGACGATGTTAGTGTTGGGCAACTCCTTCCCATCTTGGACATAATTACTCCACCATTACTTCATATCTTTAATTTCTCCATAGTCTTCAACCTTTCCTGCAATTTGGAAACAGGCCTGCGTTGTTCCCATTCCTAAGATTAAGTGCCCTACTCGCCTAAGTGATTTTCGGCCAATATCGATACTTTCCGTATTATCTAAGGCACTTGAACGCTTGGTGTACAATCAAGTGCAGGATTACCTTGATGAGCATAAACTAATTACAGACTATCAATCTAGTTTCCGACCAGGCCACAGTACCACATCGGCACTCATCAAGGTTACTGATGATATTAAGCGTAACTGTGACAATCGACGAATAACCTTGTTAGTTTTGCTGGACTTCAGCAAGGCATTTGATGCTGTGGATCATAGCCTACTGGTGTCGTCTCTGTCTGCTATGGGCTTTGCCCCTGAGTGCGTTACTTGGTTTAGGTCATACCTTTCTCAATGTTCCTTTTGTGTGCGTGACACTTCACCTTCTTCTTCTGTGTTTCAAAGTCATAGTGGTGTGCCTCAAGGAAGTGTATTGGGTCCATTACTCTTTTCAATTTTTATAAACAGTGTTACCAAAATTCATTTCATGCAATTATCACTTATATGCGGATGATCTTCAAATCTATACATCAACAACTGTGAATGAGCTCCCGGTGTCCATGTCGCGGCTTAATGACGATCTATCCAGGATACTTCACTGGTGTAAATGTTTTGGCCTGAGTTTGAATATTAAAAATATGAAAACCTTTAGTTGCAAAATTTTACACTTTCAATGATACGCAACTGATACTTCGTGACAATGTTTTACATTTCACCAATACGGTCAAAAACTTGGGGGTGACAATGGACTCAGCGCTGTCTTGGCGGTGTCAAATTCAGTCTGTCTGTAGGAAGGTCTATTTTTGTTTTCATTCTTTGCGTAAACTTGGTTGTTTCCTTTCCCTTGCTGTCCGTCGTAATCTTTGTTACTTATTAATACTGCCCCACATAGATTATGCTGATGCGGTATATCCCGACCTAGCAACTACCCTCCGTAACAAATTGGAAAGACTGCAGAACAATTGCCTACGCTTTATTTTTGACCTGGGTAAGTACGACCATGTGACGCAATATCGAAATCACCTTCGTATGTTGACTGTCGAAAATCGCAGATCCTTCCGTATATTGACTACATTATATAAAATACTTTCTTCTCGGACCCCAGTATACTTGTACGCGAACTTTCAATTCATGTCGTCTCGTGGTCTGCCTACTAGAGCACAGTCTGATATCTTACTCATATTTCCCATTCATCGCACCGAGAGATATCATGGATCTTTCACGGTGCAGGCTATAAAGCTTTGGAATAGTTTACCCACGGAAATACGCAACACTCGGAGTTTTCTAACATTTAAGGTCTGCTTAAGGGATTATCTATTAACACTGCAATTATTTAAATCTAACTCTTGATGTCACCTGCTTCTCATCTCTTTTCCTTTTTTTTTTCTTTTCTCTTTTTTTTTCCTCCTCTCTATCAACTGTACTTGTTGTGTTTCTTCTTTTCTTTTCCTTTTCCTCTGCTCTTTTTCTTCTTTTTACTTAAATGTTGAATTATTTAATAATGCCATATTGATTATTTTTTTTTTACGTACATTGCTGGTTGGGTCTTTTGGAAGACATCGCTCTTGGCAATAAACTGACCTTTTGTCAACATACACTATTGATTAATTCATTTATGTATACATATATATTATTTTTCTCTTGTATAAGCTATGTGGCAATAAACTTATTATTATTATTATAAACAATTTGTTTCAATCGTCCCCAAAAATAAATATCCATAATTGTAAGATCAGGACTACGTGCTGGCCATCAAATAGGACCATTTCGTTCAATCCATTTTTGACGAAATTGTAAATTTAACCATTTGGCACAATGTGTGAATGGTAAGCTGGGCAATTGTCTTGCTGAAAGTACATTGACCGTATAAAATTTAAGGGTAATTGGATTTACATCGCTCCAATAACCACACTGCTGGGAAGAAATAATGACATTTGTGGAAAAGCTGTCTGCCTCTTTATGGATAATATAGAACCCGTTTCCAATTTTTTTTTCATCAGTTTGCGAGCCCCACATGAGATATTCTTGTGTCCGGATATTTTTGCTGGAATTTTTGTATAACTACACGAAAACATGATTCATTAGTATTTTGTATGATTCACCAGTATTTAGTACTGTACCATAGCACAGTACTAGAGTTTTATGGTTTCTATGGTTACATATCATAAATTGAACTTCAATTTCAATTTAGAAAAAAGTCCAATTTTAACATAAAAATTGGAATAATTAGTTAACTTTTATAGTTAGAGTATAAAATTCATGCGATTTAGTAGTTTGAACATATCCGACGCATTATTTATGCTGAGATACGTTTGAAAAATCAGTAACAAAAATTTTTGTCCTCTTTGTAACTCGATCCGGGGACATACTGTATATATGTTACTGTATCCTGTATATATATATGTACCCAAACCCTCTACTCCCTCATCCATCTTTTGCCCTCAATCCCCTCTCCCAAAATCTGCTTCTTATCCATCGCCTCCTCTCTTAGCTCACTATACCCTCTCAGCACGTGTTCCGGCGTCTCCCAATCCTCTCCACACAGCCTACATCACCTCTACATATCGCCCACCCAGTACCTGTTCCTTCTCTCCTCATTGTTACAGCGGAATCTGGCCACCGATCTCTTCCCTTCATCATCCCTCACCATCAACAAATAGTTTGGCAGTTCCTCTGTCACTATTTCCCCATATATCTCCCTTCCCGTATCTGTGACCATCTTTTCTGCCTCTGTATGTCCCTGTTGTTATCTCTCAGTTCTCTCCACATTTCACCTCTCTTCACTCTTCTGTTTTCCCTCCCTATCTCTCTGTCCATATATCAGCCTCCTCTCCTTAATTTCCTTCCAGCACTCTCCCAGGATAACACTGTGCGGCCTTCCTTCTATCATTTCCTTGCAGTTTACTCCTCTTCTTCCAGCCTCCACCCTTACTGCATCCACCGTAACCTCCTCCCTCACTACACACCCTGGAGTGTCCCTTGCCAACCTTATTACCCATCTTCAATACCTTGTTTGTACATACTCCAGCAATCCTTGTTCTCTCCATCCCCATACTTCTGCTCCGTACATCATTGTGCTGCTCACCAAGCCCTCAAACATAACCTTTCTTTTTCCCACATCCCTCCCAAAAGTTCTTTCCCCCCATCCCCAAACCTGTCCCATCACACGTTAGGTTCGCTCTTTTTGCCATCGCCCTCATGTGCGACCCGATCTTTCACTTCCTCTATGTACCTCTATCTATATATTCCCTGCCATCTCCATTCCTCCTTTTTTCTTCTCCCCTCTTTGTAGAACTTCATGATATTTGTCTTCTCGACGTTTACCTCCAACACCTTCGCCTTAAAATATCTCTCCAGAGACCTCATCATCTGAAATTTTATATTTTTTAGGTTACCTATGTTTAGTTTCTTTGTTTATAGACCAAGCATTGATCGTTTACTAATTTTCTATCTAAAATTAGCCTGTACGAAGTGATGGTCTTATCCAAAACGTACTCCTCTTCTTGTCCTTACATCCAGAATACTCCTCGCTGTTATTCTATTAACAGGTGGTCTATTTGGGTATTTGTAGCTCCATCTAATGATATTTAACTTGATTTATGTTCTTATGTGGGAATAATGTTAGCCTTACAATCATATTCCTGCTTGTAAGAAATGATGTTAAGAACTCACTTTACATCAAGGACTGGATATCTCCGGTAGACATGACTCAGTAAAAGACTTAAGAAACCAGATCAATAAAGAGACATGGCTATCAAGATACTTAAGAGAGATTCATAAAATTTGCATAAGATCATTATTCAATTTTATTTAAAATAGCAAAGAGACATATAAATAACAAATTTGCAGGAGTTGTACTCCTACAATTTGACTTTCAAAGGCGTATAAGTAATAGAACAAACAAAGTTTTAATGAACCATTTTGTGTAGGATATCTATGTACTATAGTATACGAGAAAATAAAAACTTCTTACCTTTTTTACTACTTCCCTTGCGGATAATGGAACGGTTAAAGTTCTTTTAAGATACATCTCAGAAAATGAATAGGTTGTTAGGTAACTATTTTCGTAAACCCCAATAAGTGGTCTTTCCCATCTACCACCACAACTACATGAAATTTCAAGATTCGCTTCATAAACGCAACTTTCACTTGGGCAATTTATTAATTTAACATCGATCATATAATCGGTTTCATTAATCCAAATCTTTTCGCTTCCTTCCGCCATACTAAAATAACCATTGCTGCAATCCATTGTTAATTTACAATTTGGAGAGTGATTTTTACAAATCGCCGTACGTAAAGAAAACGTTGTTATTTGGGTCGGAAGAGACCGACAATATATTTTAAAGTCATCATTAGTATTTACCGTACATTTATTTGTAATCTTCTCTGATATATTTCCGATTATCTCTATATAATTCGGAGCAAACTGAATTTCTGGTATTTGACACGTTCCATTGATTTCTATCGCTGTATGTAATTGATTGTGCCCTTCAGTTTGAAGATAAATTGGTAAAAGAACTCGACTATTTAGATTTTCTAATGGTTCATAATTTATTGTAATTTCTCTTTCCTGGTCCCATCCAAGTTTGAACTGTATACATGTTCCGTTTGGTAATTCCACAAAACGAGATTCTTTATCAGTCATAAAGTAGGAAAAAGGTTGTGAATTAGAGCTTAATTTTACCATAACAATTTTTGGCGTAGTTTGTGGATTTTTTATTTTTAAAACATATGAATCTTTCACGTTTAATTCATCCACGCGAAGATTGACTATTTTTTTTGAAAATATTATACTAGGTTCTGTTGAAAAAACCGTGGCTTTAACGCAAGGAACTTTTTGTGGCACATTAATAAGTTTGGAATCGTCATCAATCTCATTACTTGCACACAGATAATAATCGACTAGTTGTGTTATTGTGTCATATCTTAATGGTGGCCCTAAGATTCCATTTAAAGTAATCGGAAGAAAAAACCATGTTGACATAGCTTCCGTTGGATAGAAGTGAATATAAAAAGTTTTTGATTCGTTCGGAAGAAAATTTGCTAATGTAACATCGTTTTTATCAAATAATTGATTTGACTGAGTTACTTTGAATTCAGGGTATTCTTCTAAATCGAAATTAACGAAGGTTTCTGCTGCACATTTATTTTTTATTGTAAATTTAATAATAGCAAAACTACTGGAGGATATTTTTGGAAATAAAATCACATTTGGATCTATTCGAATATCTGGATAAACAACGTTTCCTTTAACAGAAATTTCATATTTTTTATCTGCATCGTTTACAACCATTAGTGTTATTGATCCTTCAAAACTAACGCATTTTGGACACAAAACTGCTACTATAATAGCAAACAAACAATTTGGTTTTATCGCCACTTCCATTGGAGTTATTTTAATCCAAGCCGGTTTTAAATTACTCCGATCGAGTTTACAACCAACTGTAAAATTGCTTAAATTTTTTATTAAAATTTCTTTAAAAGACCATGTTTGTAGTGATAAATTCTCAAAATTGACTTCCTTCGTTATTAAATCCAAATCTCCGGTGCCAAAGTTATCACAAGATATCACAAAAAGTTGAGGAGAACAATCTCCCGATACAAATTTTGCAATACAAGTTGTGGGCCCTTCAACTTCCGGTATATAAGTAACTACAGATTTTAATGTTTTTCCAATATCCACAACACCTTCTAATGGTTGTATTATAAAGTTCGGTTCGTTAATAATCCAATAGAACTTAACCGATATGTTTAAATCGTTGATTAATTGAATATATTGCGTAGTATATTCTCTTTGAAAATCAATCTGATTTGTACTCAATCTAAGAATTCTCGGTATTACATTTATCAAAACCGGAACTGGTATCATCATACTTTCATTGAATATTAAATCTAGATTCGCTGCATAATAACCAACAGTTCCGGAATTGTATACCAATTTTACTTCAATACAGGAATTACCTTGTAATACATAACGATTTTCTCTTATGCAACCAATATTTGCTTTATCTGAACGAATGTACAGGCGGACTGGAAATTGGTTCATATTGTGAATTTGTAAAGGAAAAATTAAATTGTGATTTGCTGCTATCTACAAAAATATTAATTATATTAATAGAAACATATATGTATATATTTATGCACTAGAATTTGTTCTTAGCGTACATTTTAACGTAAAATATATGATTTTGAAAATTGTAGCTTTTTTCGCAGCTTGATGAAAAGACTTTAAAACAGCTAAATGGATTTCAACATGGTATCGATGGAATTATACCTTGTATAGCATGGAAACAGTTTTTTAATATAACAAATGGCGTTGTGGTGTGTTGTGAGAGCATTGAGTGTATATTCATCGTCATCGGTATTAGTATTAGTCTTCTTTCCTGATTCTTACGTTTTACAGCTTTGTTTAAAATCCCAGAACTGTGCATAACAGTCCCTAACGGTTATAAAATCTCGACATAGTGAGGTACAATGATTTAAAGAAGTCACTTGCTACTGTGTACTTAACTATCTTCAACTCATGACTGTGGATATTTAAGTTTCTCCACTTCTTCCTCAGTTTTGTAATTAAAGGTATAGAAAACGATAGCTATAGAAACTGAAATAAATCTATGACAGAAAATCTATAATTGGTTTGCATGTGTTAACTGAGCAGTTTTATAATTTAAAGTTTGAAGAAGGAAAAACCTTTGTGCAGAAATGACGAAGGTAATAATGGCGTTGCCGGAAAAATACAAACATTTTATATCGGCATGGGAAAGTTTACCAAATGATGAGCAAAATTTAAATAATTTAATATCGAGACTACCAACAAAAGAACAAAGAGTAGGAAGAGAAGATAACTTTATAGCTTTAGTAACGAGGAAGGAAGGAAAGAAATGTTTTGCCTATGGTAAAGAAGGGCACCTACAGGCTCAATGTAGGAGGGCAATTAAATGTTTCTATTGCAAGAAAAAAGGGCATGGAATCAAGGATTGTTACTAAAGGAAAAAAAAGGGGAGATGAAAACAAAGAAAGAAAACAAAAACATAGAAAAAACATAGCAATAGTGTTAGAGCACAGGTTTTGCAATTCATGTGTGCAGGGAAAGCAACATAAAGAAATTTTTAAAATGAGCTTATCGAGATTAGACAAGATAGGTGAAATTATTCATGTGGATTTGTGTGGTACAATGGAGGAGTTTTCGTTTGGTGGTTCAAAATATATGTTTCTCTTAAGGGGGTAGCGGACTAAAAAAATCGATTTTTTTTATTATTTATTTTAATAGGTACACATCTCAAGATTGCCTGTTTAAATTTTTAGCAAGAAATTCGAAAAAATAACAAAGATACAGGGTATTACATCTTATCGCTACATTATAAAAATAATCCTAAACAAACCAATTAATTTGAGAGAATAAAGTGGAACTAGTTATTAAAACCGGTGGTATGTGCGACTATCGCCAATGCAAGTACTTGATTTTATTAGCTAAAAGTCACAGTTGCGTAAATCACATCTTTTGAAGTTTTACTTCTGATTAGTTCAGTTCTGTGTACGCAATTGTTGTAGTGTTGTGTTCGTGTTCATACATGTTCATTGTGTAAGTAATCATTTAATAATCTTTATATAATTTTGAAATATATTATAATACAATAATTTTAAATTGTGTTATAATTTATAATAAGTTATAATAAGGTCTCAATCTACTAGTGTTGTTCAACAATTGTCGACTAATGTCAAATTGTTAATTGTCAGTTACATGAGGAATTATCATGGACAAGAAAGGGAAAAGGCACCAAATTGGGCAGCAAACATGGAGAGCTGATAGAAAACGACGAAAGTCGGGTCCAGCAAACCGATATTAGATGGATAAAGCTTCAAATATTAGCACATGTATCCCAGTTATAGCGCACTATTCAGAGCGAAAAAGGATTGCTATCCCGAAAAAGGTGGAATAATCGTAACAGAGACATCAGCAGAAGTTAAACTGTAGCAGCTGTTGGACCACACCTCAAAACGTCTTTGCGTATACCTGCAAGATGTATTTGATAATTTAACCATAGTGGAAAGAGAAAACGTAGAAATCATATATTATATAAATGGGGCTGTGATGGATCCAAACAAGCACAGTACAAACAAAAACACCCATCTGTTACAGATTCTGATGCCAACGTCTTTCAAGGTTCTGTGGTACCCTTAAAGATGGTATACAACGGAAATAAATTAGTGTGGCTCAATCCGGACATAGATGACAGCTGTCTTCCTATTTATAAATTCAAGATTGTTTCATTTAAATGATGTACGGTTACTTGATTATGCCCCTCTTTGTTAAAATCAATAAGCTGCAAGGACTGAACTGCTAAGAAAATTCACGTTATGGTGTCGCAAATCTGGACATACGAAACATTGTCGGAAGATTAGTGTAAAAACGTTATATGTACAATATATGGAAAGGGAGATAAACATCGCTGCGAAAATTACAGAGAGATCTTATTGCTATGCATATCTTATAAAGTCTTGAATAAGATCATAAAGTCCCAGATGAAACCCTATGCGGAAGATGTAATCGGAGAATATCAAGGTACGTAACTACGTAACTACGGACATAATATTCAGCGAAGCAGGTTTTAGAAAAATGCTGGACATATAACGTAGTACACGAGGTATTTGTAGAGTTTAAATAGGCATACGACAATATTGGCAATATCACCAAAACTCATCCAATCCGATGTGGACATCCACTTCATACGAAGCTTCCAAACGCTTCCGTGCTAAAGCAGGGAAATGGCCTTGCATCTACACATTTTAATTTGGTTTTGGACTACAACATAAGAAAACTCTCAGTTGATGCCATATCTTTGGTTATCTTATCTACTCTTTAAATTGTCTCAGATGTTGCTTACTTCGAGGACATAAACATAATGGCACCATCACATCAAGTCGCTATAGAAGTGTTAACTACTCAATGTGACAGCAGGGCTACGTATCAATGGCGATAAAACGAAAGTCATGGTGTAATTACGGGAAACGCGTTGAACGAACAGGATCTAATGATAGCGGCCAGTAGTATTGAGAAGATGAATAACTTCATATATCTAGGAGCCAAACTCTATGAGGACGGCAATAAAATCAACGAAATCAAGATACGTATAATAGCAAATAAAACACACTTCTAATCATCAAATGCACAGACGTCCGCATAGAGACAAAGCTGCGCATGTACAACACTAATCAGAATAGTGCTCTGGCAGTGTTTGCATACATCCGGAGAAATGGTGGAGGGAAGGAGGCCAGTCGGAGAGCCGAGAAGGCGCTGGAAGGAGTCAGACGATGAGGATAGCAGGTCGCTGAAATTTACGATGTGGAGAACGCCATAGCTGAACTGGGAGGATTTGAGACAATGCATATGGGAGGCCCGACTCGAGCTGTATCGCCATTGATTAAATTAATGAATTGTCGAAAAATTTGGGCATACGAAACATATGTGAGTGTAAGTTTCCTAAGATATGATTAAAATCGTTGAGCATAATGTGAGATAACGATTCCTAGTTAATAACAGTACCATTAAAAAAGTATACTCCAAGAAAGCTGGAAGAAATAATGCCGTACTGAACATTAAACCCATATTTCTCCACTGTTCAACATGATCTGGGTTGTGTTCTTATCGCGCAGCCATGGCATGCGAATTCGTCTATATCAAAGAGATTTAACCGGCGTTGATAGTAATGATTAAGTAAATTCAGTTTTCCCGAATGTTGTCAGAGCGGTAGAACATTCATCGTTCCAGCGAACAGAGGAAAAGAAACACGACGAAATAAAAAAGAAAGAAAACCAGAAGGTGAAGAAAGTATGTTAGATAAAATAATGTCATGATGGTAAACAAAATGACACTAATTAAAGAAGTAAGATAGGAACAGCGAACCTATCACGAGGAGATGAGTTTAATAAAATAAGAATATCAAAGAATTAAGGAAGACAAAGTGGAGATAATGAAACAAGTTTGTAGACTATCAAGAGGCAGTAGAGAAAAGAGCATGAAGAAATAATCTGGTCAAAGATGAGAAGAAGATCAAAAAAATGAGGCGGCTGGATAATTAATGACAACTCACGGTAAAGAAAACAGCATGGCGTGTGGAGATGAATGGTAAGACACAAGAACTAATACAAACATTATAAATGTAATGTATGTAATCAATTTGAGTTTAAGGAGTAGTACTCTGTAGATTTGATTGTACGTTATGGCACCATTGAACATGACAGAAGTGACGATAACGAAACATTTTGCAATACTTTGCAATCGACTTGAAGAAATGTAAGGGAGTAATAGGAAAAATTAGAGAAGATAAGAAGCTAAGTAGCAATGGCAGAAGGCTGTTTGAAGCGTACGTGGACATCGAGCTGGTGTTAACTAAAGTATAAGTGAAAGATACGCGGATGAAGAGGGGATTTAAGATTGGGAAATGAACAAAGGTGGAAATAAGCGAAGGCGATTATGATCCAATGTTACTTAAGTCGAATCTGAAGTGGTTAGAGATACAGTTATAATTAGATAATCATCTTAACTACTTAACAATAATAACATACTTATGAATTGTTTAGATCATTAGAAAATGTTGCAACTCAAGCTAATTTATAGGAAAATATCGTTGGATAAAAGATGGCTTGTTAGCGCAGAATACAAACTACCTCTATATAAATAACTCCATCTTAAGAGCTATAACTAATAAAAGTAATTTTGAAGATATTCAACATTTCTGGTTGAATGGGTTACGTTCACCATGGTATATACCTAACGTTAATACTATCCACTACGACATAGAGATATACAATACATCGTGTTATATTCTAAAACTACCAGAATTGCAACGATCTCTTTGCCGAAGAATATCATTGGTTTGCAAACGAGAAGACGTTCAAATTGAATTGAAAAATTCGTTTCGTAGGGAGTTTCCAGAGAAAGAGTGAGTAGCATACAACCTAACGGAGACTAAGCTTTCCATTTTGAAAATTATTGGGAATTCTAAAAATTGAAATCAATGCAATAAACCTTTGTTAATTAGAAAATTTTCACTTTTATACAATCCTACAGTAAATCATGCAGATTTGAGATCTCTTAATTGTAATAACTAAAACTTGCTACAAACATAAGCATATTTTTGTACCATAGGTGGATATTTTTTAATGGACTAAAACCATTAGTGAGTGTATCAAAATCTTGAGTGAAATGTTTGAAAGTGGATGAAATAGAGTTCTTGTTTAAATTCTTGAAAGATACCACTGCTTAAGTATATTACTTTATAGAGACTAACTTGGCAAGATTAATAATTGTGAATTGTTGGCTTATGAATCATGTAAATTATAATGCTTATTAATGGGGTATTTATTAGAAGACTTTATGGAGCAGCAAAATAATTGGAATAAATTAATACAACAGAGGATACAAGAGATCAACAGATTGGAAGAGCTTACCCAGGTAGTGCGGGAGGCAACACTGAAAAGGGAGTGTGTACGTAGGGGGGACAAAGTGGGGAGGAACGACTGGTATGATGGCGAGTGCAAGAAGGCGAAGAGGGAGGCGAGAAGGAGGTTGAGGCTGTGGAGACGGGGGAAGATAGGGGTGGATAGATATAGGGAAGCCAGGAGAGAATACAGAGAGTTATGCAGTAGAAAGAAAACAGAATTGAGGGAGAAGGAGGCGGCAGAGATTAGGGGGATAACAAGGGAAGGGGAGGTCAGGAGGTATCTGAAAAAAGGAAAGAAGGGTAGGGAGACGATAACCAGCGAAATACACATGACAGAATGGAAGAGTTACTTTATGGGATTATTGGGAGGGGTTGAAACGAGGCTAACGGGGTTGGGAGGATATGAGGGAGATGGGGGAGAGGAGATAGCAGAAGAGGAGATGGAGGCGGTGCTTAGGAGATTGAAGAAGGGAAAGGCGCCAGGTGAAGATGGGATACATAACGAAGCATGGTTGGAAGCATCAAGGGTGGTGCGAGTGAAGTTGTTGGAGGGGATGAATATCGTATGGAGAGCGGGTGGGATTCCGGAGGGATGGAAAGTGGGAGTAATTTGCCCAGTATATACAAAGGGTAATAAGGGAAGTGTAGAGAGCTATAGGGAAATTAACCTACTAGACTCGGCATACAAGATATACACGAAGATACTGCTGGGAAGATTGGAGGAGGAGATGGAGTTGGGGGGAATTTTACCGGATGGGCAGGCAGGCTTTCGGAAGGGAAGGGGAGCAATCGACAACGTGTATGTGTTGAAGCATTTGGCAGATAGAGAGCTGGATAAGAAGGGAGGGAAATTGTACGCCCTGTTTATAGATTTGAAGGCGGCTTTTGATAAGGTGGATAGGGGGAAGTTGTGGGAGGAGATGGGGAGGAGGGGGATAACGGAACACCTAATTGCGAGAGTGAAGGAAATATACATGGAGACGATGGCTAGGATAAAAGTGGGAGATAAGCTGAGCGACGTGTTCTGGACTACGAAGGGACTGAGGCAGGGATGTCCGCTGAGCCCAAGTCTGTTTGCACTGTATACGGCGGACCTGGAGGAAAGATTGGGCAAGGGGCAGATGGGAGGATTGGTGGTGGGAGGTAGAAAGGTGCATATGTTAGCATACGCGGATGACATCGTGGTCATGGCGAGAGAAGCGGTGGAGATGAAGGAGATGATAAAGACATTGGAAAGATATTTTAGGGGGAAGGGGCTGGAAGTGAATGTGGGGAAGACAAGGATGATGAAGTTTTGTAAGGGAGGGAGAAAAAGAACAGAAAACTGGAGATGGGAGGGAAAGGAGATCGAGGAGGTTAGGGAGTATACTTACTTGGGGTATGTGTTTAGGGAGGATAACAGGGAGGGGTCGCATGTGATAGCTATGGCAAAAAAGGCGAATAAGGTGATGGGACAAGTATGGGGTTGGGGGAAGAGAGTCTTTGGAAGGAATGTGGCAGCGAGGAAGATTATGTTTGAAGGTCTGGTTAGCAGTGTGATGATGTATGGGGCAGAGGTATGGGGATGGAGGGAGCAGGGACCGCTGGAGGACGTGCAGGCTAGATATTGGAGATGGGTGCTTGGGGTGGCGAGAGAAACACCGGGGTATATAGTGAGGGAAGAGGTAAAGGTGGATAAGGTCAGGGTGGAGGCGGGCAGGAGGGCAGTGAAATATGAAGAAAGAATAAAAGGGAGGCCAAGCTGCGGGATCCTGGGGGAGTGTTGGAGGGAAATTAGAGAGGGAAAGGTCAGATATGGGAAAGGACACAGAGACAACTATTATAGACGAGCGGGCTACTCGGTAACGGAGATAAATAGTAGACGAAGGGTGGGTAGGGAGATGTGGAGGGAGTTGAGAGACAGGGACCGAGATGTGCAGAGACAGGAAAGAAGGACACAAATAAAAGTGGGAAGGTATAACGAAAGATACAGGGACATAATTACGGAGGGGCTGCCTAGATACTTGTTATTGGAAAGAGATGAGGAAGGGAAAAAGTTGGTGGCTAGGTTCCGTTGTGGAAACGAGGAGAGAGCCAACAAATACTGGATGGCCGATGAGGAGAGGTGGTGTAGGCTGTGCAGGGAGGAATCGGAAACGTTAGAACACATGCTGAATGGGTGCAGTGAGTTGAGGGAGGAGGAGATGGACCGAAGGCAGATCTTAGGAGAGGGGGGAGAAGGGAAACGATGGATGAGAATGGTGATGGGGGTGAGGAGACAAAGGGATGGGTGAGGGGATGGTTGGGCCGAGGAGCCGAGGGCGTGGAAATGGAGGAAGAGGGTAGAGAGTGAAAGTAATATTTGAATAATGTAAAGAATTGTAAACAATTACTGTATACAATAAACTCTTAATTAATAAATATACTTTCGAATCAAATATTTAGAAAGTGTATGTGTTAGGTGTCTTTGTGCAAACAATGTCTAACAATACTAACAAATTTGCATAACAAGACTAACATAATTTGACTTGAATGAGGCTGATGCCAAGTTCTGTTAGTGTGGAATATTTCTTTGTCACTTACGATAGGTAAACAATTAAAACCGTACTCATTAAAAAGATTGTACTTACCACACCGCAATAACCCCAAAGGTGATAAAAGTGATTATACAAGTGATAAAATTACAAGGTATAAATATCTTGATTTTACGTTAAAAAGTTCTCTTAAACTCATTAAGTATTACATCAATTTGGTTATTAATACTTACCGAACCAGTTTTAACACATTGTGGTTGGGCAAAAATATTTTTCATTTGCGAGGGTGTTAAAGGAATAAAATGTCGAAATTTACACGGAGTTTTAGTTTCCGATTCCTGTATATTATCTTCTAATCCAATACACATCAATTCTGCTTTTGGTGTAACTGAATAGTCTGTAGATTTCCTATTAAGTGGTTTCGGCTTCTTTAAAGTACTCTGTATGTATTTATTATAATAACTTTGGTTTTGTTTACGAAAATCTCTCGCACTTTCAGTGCACTCGTATGATGGATCAAGTGGTGGTACGTATCTAGGTACTTTAGCAAACATTGTACAACACCTGAAAATAAATTAATTAAATTAAGACTGGGAGAAATTAGAAAGATTATTACGCAGTTTTTGCTCTCCATGGTCTCAAAGACCTTTGATTTTCGTTTGGCAACGCAACCAAATCATCGCAATCACGATCTAAGCGTTTTTTAACATCAACTGTTATTGCTTTTGTGTTATGAAACGACGAACTAAATTTCAAATCGTGACAGTATTTTCCAACATCTCTAATATAATTCGGATCTAATCCTTTGTTAATTTCCGGTTTCGGGTGAGCTGTTAAGCATCTCACGACAAGTATTACATTTATAGAAATCTCCCCAATTACTTTCGGCTGTTCCTCTTTTGGCAAATCATAATACAACAAATCAAAAACAAGTTTTGAAGTAATCATTCCCAATTGTTGAGGAATAATTGTCACGGCGATTTGTTTTGACTCTAACGCATTTAAATAAAACGAAGCAGACTCTAAATTCACAAAAGGTATTTTTCGGTATCGTAATATAATGGGAAGGTTTGCCGATAAATTTCGTAATTCTAAAACTCTTATTTCCGTCTTTTGTAGGTATAGGTTTGGTAGACATATTTCGTCGGGAATTATTTTAACTGAAGCTGTTTCTGCAACCCCACATAGATGCAATCGAATCATATCTTTTTCAGTGATTTCATGAGATTTAGAATAAGACATTGCTTCCATATCACTTAATTCCTGGTCGTCTCCAGTATTAGTAGTAGTATCTAAAAAAATATCCGTTAACAACCCAGTCTCATCCGAGACCAGAGCAGTTTACATCCATTTTCAACTTAATTTACTTACTACTAGGCATTGTAAAACTGCATAAAGTAGCTATTGAAGATAAACTTGCTCTGTAACAATAGGAAGTTGCCGGAGTTTTTGTATAAAGATCCGCTACAGATTATATAAAATAATGATTCAAACAATTAATTTTTATTTTCACAACAACTTACGCCCAATGAAGTTTTGTTGTAAATATCTACATCTGATTTTGTGTACGACCAAAGTACAAAAATAATACAATTTCTTGGATATACCTTCTTTAAACATAGGAGAAAACCTGAAAAATTATCTCAAATGCAAACTTTTAACAGAAAATTATTTCAAAAGAATTATTTTTTACGTTATGAAAAACGGTTTTGTTTCTTGTGGTTGCATAACACCGTCAATGGGAGATAGTTTAAAATGGTGCACGTCTGGATTGCGAATTTGTAATTCTTCTAAACTCTAAAAAGTAATTGTTTCATTAATTTTTCATTATTGATTTTAAACCATAAAAGGAAACAGCGATATCGACGGGTTACTAGTAAAACCAGAACACTTCATTTTTTTACTTAATTAATGACTTACGTACTATGTGTACACTATATTCTGTAACGACGAGATAAGTACATCACGAACCGAAATAATATGCGCAACAGAAATAGACATAGATTAAGATTTTAAATAAATTGGAACTCTGCTAGTGAGCTAATAACTTTTGCTACAAGCGCGAATATAGTTGTCAATTCAATACTATTTCCACAAGAACAAACGTAAAGCTATCTACATATCGCAAGATGGACCACCTGTTAATAGATAGTGTTCTGGACGTAAGGATCAGAAGAGCGACATATAAATATAGAATAAGTGAACGATCAATACACAATAGTCTAAAACAAGGAAAATTGAACATAAGTAACCTAAGTAAGAAATTTTGAGAAAGATGGATAAAAAAAATAGATAAATTAAAAAATAGATTACTGGAAATAATCTCGAACACAAACAACATTAATGGAAATAAGAATGGAATTCTTCAAAGTGACAGAAAAAAGGAAAATAAAACCATGGTTCAACAAAGAATGCAGCTAACAGCAACGTAAGTGTTCTTTCTAATCTAACTAGCATGATTTCATATCACACATAGTAGATTCAATTGAAAGTTTAATCTATATTTTATCTCAGTAAAGTTGTTAATGACAAGAAGTGTATTAATTTTGAAAAAAATGCTTCTGAACACGAATCCATTGCTGAAAACATTAAAACATATTTACAGTCTGATGGTTCTGAGATAAAGCGATAAAGATTATGTGTCTGATATAGAAGATGATGTGTGAACAGTGAGTGATTTAAAAATGATAACCGCGGATTATGCCGTGCGTATATTAAATCGCTGTTTGACTTTTCAGATGCCATGTTTTTACCTTCTTCAGATACAGGTTCATGTGACAATATCGGTTGAAAGTTAACAATATATCTATACTCTAGTAACTAATTATTAATTAATTTATGAATTAATAACTATTAGCTAATTGCCGCGGTCAGTGTGAAGCGGAAGAGCTTTTCATCGAAGGAAGTTTGTCCTTTACTATGGGCAATGCTTTCAGTAGTTTGCTGATTGTCTCATGTCTCACCACGATTTCGTCCTTTTTTAGTCGCCTGGCTATCTATTCCGTTACACCTAAAGCAAAAGATAGCCAGATGAAACTTGTTGTCTCCAGGTTCTTCGCCGTGTTAATTCGTTGAATATCCTTAGAAGTATAACAAGTCTTCAAGAGTCCGTCCGTTAGAAGTCGGTCCTGGTTACTGATACATCAAGGAATGGTAGCTAGTTGTCCTTTTCTTCCTCCATGGTGAACTTTTTTGATTGCGATAAGACAGAAATACCTAGCAGAAGCAGCCACTACCACTAGAGAGGCCGTAGAAATTTATCGTGATAAGAACATCAACAGTGAGGGTGGTATGGAACAGTGCAAAACCCGGAAGCGCTGGGTTCCAACTTAGATAATATGGTTACTAGCATTCTTCAAAGATATACGCAAATGTTTGAAGTAAAAAAAAGTTCAGATTCGGTTCTAAAGCTTACACTTCATATTTCACATTCCAAAGCTCTTCGTACAGCTCCAAAAAGCTGTTCGAAGACATGGCAGAAAACGAAAAAAAAACATAGAAATTCTCAGTACAGAAACGTAATCGTTAACAATAGCCAAGGAAAGTAAATAAGTGTAAATTAGCGGTTTACAATAGTATCATTTATGCAGTTGAAATATCTGGCGATAAACATCACTAGCAATAGGGACCAGAAAGAAGAAATCAGACCACAAACCACAAGAGCAACGATAGCAACGGTGATATGGAGGTAATAGGAGGAACAGAGACTTACAAACCAAATGTAAAAGGAGGATCTATAAGACGATAATAACATATGCTATTGAGCAATTACTGGTCATGTTTTGCTATACCGCATAAGAAGCGAAAACATCAGGGAAAATTATGAAGCATAGTCAGATGGGCGCACGAGTGTCGGAGAAAATGGAGAGACCATGCCGCGAGAATGAAAGAACACAGTTTGCCGAATTTCTTCGGAGAAGAAAAACTACAGGGGACCAAACCTCCTGGGAGTTCTCCAAAGAGGTGATACGATAGCTAGACTTCAGGATACCTGTCAGGATTTCTGAACTGTTGAAGAAAAACAGGGCCGAGCCTATTATAAAGAATAGAAAATGAAGAAAAAGGTTATGCATTTTGATAATCCACAAACTTGAGTCCAAATATGTTACGACAGTTGAGGAATAATCGGAATCCTATTTTGGAAATGGCCTACTCTAGCTTCAGAATGACTTAGGATTTAGCGTATTTCCGTGGATTTGATGTTTATCTCTTTGGTCCAAGAATTTAGCGTAGGCGTCAATTCTACTTGCAGTCTTAATTGCGTGATATAAAAAAAATGATGTTATCGACTTGGAATTAGCAGAAACACACAATGCACAATGTCTGGAAACTTTTCTTCTATCAATAAACTCATATTAATAGGTATTCATTTCATTGTTTGGGCGGTGATATACAGGATATTTCATAATATATGCGCAGGAAATTTTAACACCCTTTATCTCGAAAATGGTACATTTTAGAGGGTAAGTTGATAGAAACTTTTTTTCAAATTTTTGGACAAGTTATCACATCCTGAACTCCTGCACAAATATTATGAAGCACCCTAAATTTATTAAGTCAACTATAATCAGATTCCAATTTTTTTTACTTTCACTAAAACTTCTTAACCCATTTAGTCCCACTGGTGTGAAAAAGCACCAGCGTTGTTAAAATTATTTTACAGCCATATATTTCCAGATTTGAAGGTGCTAGCTGTTTGTACGATAACACTATAAGGTTGTTAGGCTATACATATCAAAATATTTCATAATTTTTGCTATTTAAACCATATTTGCATCAATTCTTTTCTATTGAAAATTTCTGTACAAAATATACAATGGAAATTAAACTATTTTTAGTGCACAAAATTCTTTAAAATTTTGACATTTGCAAGTTTTTAGTGCATACTTTCCTCATATATATCTTGAAACGCGAAATAAAAATTTGAATTCTTAAAATACGACTTGGAACATTAATTAAAGCTAAGGTTTGTTCCAGTTTCATCGTTTCAGTTTTAAATGTTAATTAAAAATCCGTATTACAGCTTAAACGATGTTTTATTTTAAATGTTTTTTAGTATCGGTGCTACACGTGTTTCGCCTAAATAGGGATCTACAGGCACGACTACAAGAAGATCAACATAACAGTAAAATTAGTGTTTACATAGATATTAGGAATAAAATAAGTATTAAGTAAGAATAATTACCGTCAGTACAGCTATAGATTCATAAAAATAGGGAGAAAAACAAAATCGGAACAGCGACATCAAAATGTGTTAACCACAGTTTAAATTCTAGACTTTTTATGAGTCTATAGCTGTACTGACGGTAATTATTCTTACTTAATACTTATTTTATTCCGAATATCTATGTAAACACTAATTTTACTGTTATGTTGATCTTCTTGTATGATGAGATATAAGGATTACATCATCTTTCGTATTATCAGAAACCAGTTTAGACGCATTTATTCGGTGAATTCCCCAGAAATGGTCGTTTATGGACATAGTGCGTCAATATATTATGTGTAGTAAGTTTAGCGTTCATTTACATAAAGAGTGCTTTGCGAAGTATCACAATAAGTGATTATACTGTTCATCCCATTATACTGTTCATCCCATGATTATACTGTTCATCCCATTGGTGCGTTTTTGCACCAATTTTAGTATAAATATTTTTTATATTAAACTTCATACTAAAGTTGGTATTTGTTAATGTTATGTTGTATCAATATTATTATTTATTTATGACTAATTTATTACTTTGTTAATAAATGATAATCAAAATATATTTGTGTTGTTGTTCATTTATCTTAACAATGGTGCATTTTTGCACCATCTCATACCTCATAACTCATAACACAATTTTTTTTCAAACGCCTGTGTACATTTTTACACTTTTCATTCCATCTTATCTCAAGAAAAATTATACAAAACCGATTTTTTTAAATATGCGTGGGACTAAACGGGTTAATGTGTGATAAACTCCTCTCATTTCCGCTTGCAAGTTTCAGCCTTCCTTTAACATAGTTCGCGTTATTCAATACACGCTTGTTTCTTTTGGGTTTATTGTTTTCATCTGAAGACGGTACGTATCTTGTATCGGACATTCCAACGGCAAATGCTTCCTTGGCTAACTGATACGAGATACTTAAAAATATTATTGTTAGCTATTGCATACATCTTATTGAATGATGAGACGAATTAGCAAAATAAGGCGAAAACACTGCGAATTATTAATTATAAATGACTTAGAAAGTGAAAATGAAATATAGGTTACAAGAACTTTCCATTTTTTTCCAAACCACCTGTATTTAGAGAGAAACCAGTTTTATTTATGTGTTCTTATTGATGTTCAATAAACTTTTTCTACAAACCTAACGTTTATCTTTCAACCTGATCTTTTAAATGTGTTTAAAATATTTATTCCTCAAAACTATCTTGTTAGTTTACACATTTCCTGAATCTAGCACTGCGTTGAGATGCAAAAATACTTGATATAGAGATTATCGACGTGATTCGAAAATCATAATAGATTCAAAAACTTGATCGAATAAATAAAATAATTAAGTGTTAACATACAAGGCTCATATTATGATATTCTCCATCTGTTGCAAACATACAATCTCCAGCACTATAATTACGTATCATCAAATATTGGGATGATTTCAGTCCATAATAAGTAGGTGTAAAATAGATTAAAGTAAATTGTTTTGAAGCCCAATAATGGATCGCTTCCAATCTTGGAATAATAACCGTCGCCGTAATTGGAATAATCAACATTTTATCGCATTTTATTACCAATGTGTAATTTAAAGGACCAATACTTAATGGAATTATTTTTATTTTTATTTCAAATTTCGATTTTGCCTTAAAAAATTAAAAAAGATTGTTATTTTTCTATTTAATTTTACAAATGATGTAATACTTATAATTACCATCACAATTCCTTTCGGGGGTTCAAGTACAATATGTCCTCTAGTTTTAGAAATGTCAATATGAAAAGGAGCTAAAGAATGACCATCATTTGTAAGGGTTAGGACGCGTTGAGTTGAAAGCACATTTTCGTCGATAACGCCAAAATCAAAACTTGGTGGGTTAAAAGAAATTTTAGCGCAGGTCAATATTCTAAAAAATTCAATAAAATTATCTTTTAATTTATGAAATGTGTTATTTTGTTTTAAGATGAACGTATTATAAGTAGTCTCAAAACAAAACCACATTATTATTTATTCCATCTTACATGATAACATCATAAACAACTTTTTCGTTATTAATACCAATTATAATTGTAAATTTTAAATTATTTATATCGACATTTGGTACACACACTTTTCTCAATAACTTCCGTCCTGGTTTTAACATAATTCCACCACCAGCTGTTACATTGATTTGCTTAAAAGTTATTGAACCTAAATTAATTTTTTAATAACAATTCTTATTCTTACCTTAGGAGTAGATAATATCCTAATGAATGCGTCGACTTTTCCTTCATTTTTAAAACAGATTTTACCTTGAATTGTCTTCCCAGCGTAAGCATTTTTAAAACACAATCTGGCCGGAGATATTCTCACATTCTCAATTAATAAAGATGATTTCTCTTCTTCTATTGTATCAATAGAATCATACGGTTCCATTTGTTATTCATAAAAGAATAAATTAAACATATAAATCAAAGCACACAAAGACAATGTCATTGAAAAAATATTTAAATCACTTGTCAGTGAAAATTCGTTTTACAGGATTTATTTTTATCGAGAATATTATAACATAATAAAGCAAGAAAAAGTCGAAAAAATGTTTAAATATAACTCAAAACTTAATGGGATAAGTTGAATTTGAAATGAACCAGTTTACTAATATTAAAATCTGTAATTGAGGATAAATAAAATTTTTAACTTTTTGAACCTTAAATGATCTTTATTTAACTAAATTGCAAGAATGCGTGTTTTTCGATGATAGAACGCGTCTATTACATTCCTCTTCGGTTTTCTGGAAATTAATACCAATGAAAATAGTCTTTAGGATTAAGATCCAATGAACAAGAAAGCAATTCAATACGATCTCTTTCAGCAATTCAATGTCCAGGAAATACCCCATGTGGACAACCCTGAACATTTACATCAAATGAACTGGAGTTCTTGAAACCATATCTGATTCAAATTGACTTCTCACAATCAGTGCAGGTATAATTGCATTTTTAAGTAAAGAAATGCCCAATTAACTGAGTACCCACTAAAGCCGACCATAATACAACTTTTGTGGTCTTTGAGTAAGGTTTTCATTCATCGAGTGGGTATTTACATTATTCCAATACCTTGATGACCTGATTACGTTGTTGGTTGATATTCATGCTCCTAGGCGTTCTTTTGTTGTTCGAAAAGAGTTTAAACCGTGAATTACAGATAATATTAAATATTTAATAAAACTTCGTGATAAAGCCTACAATAAATTCAAGAGAACTAAAAGTACTGCCAGTTTTAATTATTATAAGCAACTAAGAAACTTTACAAACGGTGCTATTAAACGAGAGAAAAAGGCGTACTTGGAGCATGTGTTGAATGACTGTCCCTGCTTCTATTGGCGATGTGAATGTTATTAATGATTATTTCACCTCTGCACAGTCCCAAGCTGCTGGTGATTCTGAGATGATTGATTATTACAGCTCAAATGTGTTGAAGCAGGTGACAGACAGCTTTAACTTTGAACCTGTATCTTCCGCTGAGGTGGCTAATGCTTTAAGATCAATCATCATGGTATCAGCATAAAAATGTTGATCTTGTGCTGCCCTGTGATACTTCCTTTTTTTGTGTGGTATCTTTAATTGTATTTTCAGGAATTGAGTGTTTCCAGCTGCTTGGAAGGTTGCCATAATTAAACCTATTCTCAAGGTTGCCAATCCGGGTCAGGTTTGCGCCCTATTAGCATTCTTCCGGCTTTATCGAAGGTATTTGAAAGGGTTGTTTCATCTGAGCTATGGTGTCATATTGGTAAATACAATATCTTGCCTACTTTTCAGTCTGGATTTCGTCCAGATTATAGTTGTACGACTGCTCTCCTCGATGTTACTGATGACATCATACATGTTATAGATTCTAATATGATTTCTTTGTTAATATTACTTTATTGTTCTAAAGCTTTCGACACCCTTCACCATAAAACCTTCCTATCTATTTTACATTTTATTGGGTTATCAGAGCGATCTATACAATTATTCAATTCTTACTTATCAGGAAGATTCCAGGTAGTTGTCTGCAATGACAAAAGATCTAAAGAGAAGCCTGTTAATTCTGGAGTACCCCAAGGATCGATATTGGGCCCTCTTCTTTATCTAATTTACACTCTAAAGTTGTGTAGTTCATTGAAATTTTGTAAACCTCACATGTACGCAGATGATACACAGTTGTATTGTAGTTTTCAATTGAGCGGCTGCCTTAACAGTCACTGTCTTAACATTAATACTGAAAAAACGTCTGCTATCGTGTTGGGGGGTAGGAATGTTGCTGGCCGTGCTCGGGAAGAACTAGAAATATTTGTTTCGAATAATCGGATTGAAATTGTTGGTACAGCGCGTAACTTAGGTGTCACAATAGATTCTTCCCTCCGATTTAAAGAACATGTAAACACTCTGATTAGGCGTGCCTATTAAACTCTAAAGTCTTATATAGCAGCAAGCATCTTTTAAACCGAAGACTGAGGCTTCAGTTACGTGACACACTTATCTTGTCAATTTTTAATTATGGTGACCAGCTGTATCATCCCTGCTTAGATCGCGTTAACAGTGCTCGTATCCAGAGGGTGCAAAATGCATATTTACGGTTTATATTTGGAATCCGAAGAAGTGATCATATCTGACATACTTTAACTTGGGCGCGTTCGTTGAATATGGAAAATCGCAGAATATTACGTTGTATCTGCCGCTATCATAAAATATGAAAATTTAAAAGACCACTCTACTTGTACAATAAAATTAGATTCAGAACTGATATACACAATATTAATGTCCGACGCATACACGCCGTTACCATTCCGAGACATAGACTGCAAATATTTAAAAGGTCATTTTCGTATTGCGTACCATTTCTGTTTAATGATATATGCGACCATGTAAACCCAGCCTTGGGAACACTAACATATAAAAAGCAAGTTAGATCCCTTTTAAGTATGCGACAGTTCGATTTGTGATCTGATATAAATGCATTGTTATTTGTCTACTTTCTTATTTTATATCATTTGTTTATTAAACTTTTCGACTTTCGGCTAGTTGGAAATGCTACGCATTTATTATTTGGTGACATACATAAAATACATAAAATCGTAATTTTTTTATTTGATTTTATATTTTATTTGTTTTTATTATTGTTGTTTATAACATTTGGTATCTCAATAAATGTATTATTATTGTTTATAGTATTACACAGTTCTGGTATTATTTTAATTACGGATGCTTTTGAAATTCTGAACAATATCGACAACAATCTATACGATATTCCAGAAGAAAGGTATACTAGGGTTATCTCCAACTTTACTCTCGCAGGTATAGCATTCTTCATGTGTATCTTCACGTTGAATTTTTGGAGCAATTAAATTTAAAAGGTGTCACTCTCATAACTACTTTATATTCTCGGGGATCTTCATTATATAGTTCTTTAAATATAGTATGCGATGCCCTTTTCCTTTGCATCCAATTCTTGACCCAAATCGTTCTGTTTTTCTTCTTTTTTTGTATAGCACTTTCAGCTCGAATCATTTCAGCGCAAAGTATTTTTGTAACCGCTTTTATTACGGTATGAACCGTGATCAGTCGTGTATTTTGCGACAACATTGCACGAGACCTAAAAGCTACTGAAAAGATACCAGTACACACGTGCAGTAGCTGTCTAATTTCACGCCAGTAAGTCGCACTTGTGTGACCGGACGAGGCGAGTCGAGCTACTGTCATGCGAGTACATAGGTACAGTAGTTGCCCACTGTCAGGTCAGCAACTCGTATTGTGTAACCAGGCCTTAACGGCCCTATTGTATAACAGCCTTATGGGACACAATGATCGATAACAGAATTTGTGACTAGAACCACTAAAGCGACAGCACAGCTGGAGAAAGAAAACGCATCGAAAAGTTATACTCCCTCTGTCCCATACTAAGTGTGTTGCGAGTGTATAATTTTAATTAATGTTATTTTCTTCTCTTAATGTTATTCTTTTCTCTTTATTTTAAAGTCAATCATTTTCTTTTCTATTAATTAACCAAAATTGTGTAACATGATTCTTTTCCTTACTTAGCAATATTGGTCGACAATCCTATCTTTCCTTTCTTTCTTTTATTTCTTGTCTCTATTTCGCAATTACGAATTTAAGTAATTTTAAGTTAGTTGTAAGCAAGTTGTTAATGTAATAAGAAGTAAGCACGTCAATAAACTGTGGAGCGTTAGTTCTGTCCATACTTTCAAAAAAACCTCGTCAGCATCCCAAAATCTACGTTGGGTAAACCATCCCCAACAAGTGTCCGATTTTGGCATTTCCCGAAACTTAGCGTTATTTCGAAATGTCAGTTGCAATCTTGTATTCCATCAAGTGACTTAAGTCAAAACTGACACATGAATGTTGTCAAAAAATTTAAACGCGTCTACGTAACTTTTGAGTAGTGATTTATAAATCATACGTCGCGTCGTCTTGTTATTTCTAAAAGTACCGGAGTGATCACATAATGGACCGTCGAGGAGTTTTTGAAGTTGTATCTCAACGAAAAAGGCCTAACCTAAACCAGGAAGCGCGTCAAAGTGTGTACCATTATTCGCTAGAAGTAAGTGTAAATGGTAAACTTAAACATGGATCGATAAAGGATGCAGCTGCTCGGTATTCTGTATCGGAGAAGACTATAATTCGAATTTGGCATCGAGGACAAGAAACTTTACGTGAAGGAGCGTAAAGCGCGAATGTAAATTCTCGAAAATCTGGAACAGTCGGCAGGAAACGAAAAATCGTAGATATAGAAAAAATAAAAGAGATACCGATTTACTCATACTTGCATATGCCATTGGAATTTCAAAAAGCACAATTCAGAGAAGCATTAAATCTGGACTGATCAATCCTCCTCATTCAAGCGCAGTAAAACCATTTCTTACTGACCGTAACAAAATCCAACGTTTGGAATACTGCTTGGCAACGCTTGATTCTGAAAGTATCGGTGCTGGTGCACCTATTTTTAAGGATATGAAAAACTACATTCATGTTGACGAGAAATGGTTTTATTTAAAAAAGACCTCTAATAAATACTACCGCGCTCATGATGAGAGGGAGCCTCATGAAACATGTAAAAGTAAGCGACGCTAATTGTATTCCCTATTTTCTTTGCTATTATCAGGTGTGGTCGGCATGGATATCGACTGCTGATTGACTATTGAAGCTGCGATAAACGATAATAGCGACGATACTACCAAAACAACGAAATTGTTGTCATAGTTTTATATACAGGTGTTTATATTGGAACGAGAGCTGCGATAAACGATAAGAACAACAATGAGAGCAGCGATAAGAGCTGCGCAAAATGAATTGAAAACGATTTGTCAGAACAAATCTGTTGTGGTAATTTTTATCTTTTTGGTCCGACAAGGGGGATCTAACAAAAATTTCACTAATTAAACAGTCGATATCCATGCCGACCACACCTGATAATAGCAAA